CTTGAAGCTTTTAATTTTTTTGTAATGATTTTAGAAGTTTTCGAAATGTATATTGGTTTTTGAAATTCAAAATTCAAAACGTAATATTTAAAAATATTTTTTTAAATTGTCGATTAAGGAAACTAAAGATTTAGATCCTAGATTTAGAGAATTTAATAACTAAATTCGCAAAAACCACATTCTGCTCTACTCAGTAGATGATAGAAAATGTGGCAGAATTTTTATTCAAGCATGGTAGAATATATTGAGAACGGTAGAATACGTATTATGGATTTGGTACCTGTGATTGCAAATCGTGGAATAAAAACTCTACGAAGATGTACAACATAGAGCAAGTAGTAGAACACAAATTCTACGCTTGGTAGATATAAGTCTACAAGGTAGAACAAACAATTTACCGACCCGTAGACGTATAACATGGATTCTAGAAGGCGTAGAAGCAAACTATACAATTATTTTTGAATATTATTTTTAACCAATAAAAATATTTTGATATATACATATGACTATTCTTTAGGTTTTTGTAAGTATAAGATTTTTTAAAAATTTAAAAACTCTTTATTTCTAATTATTTTTATTGGGTTAAGGGTAGTACTATATGCAAAAAAAACTTGATGAATGTTAGTTGGTTTTTCCTTTTTGGCTTAACTGTGGGGTAATTTTACAAATCTTTCCATATTTCAATTTCTAAAATCTATTACTATTTGAATAAAATCTAGTAGATCACTATCAATAAAAAAAACATTTTCTCAAACGAAAAATATATAAAATATTTGGTTTTCTAAATTTAGAAATAATTTTAACCTTATATTTTTAATTTAAAAATTTAAAAATTTTTTCATTAAATTGGTAAAAAAAAAATCGAATAAAAAGGTCATTTTGGTGTATAGCCAAAAAAATAAAATAAAAAAGTAAAAATGGAGTATATAGTAAAATCATGACCATTAAATTTAGGAATTTTTGTTACTTTTTAAGTTATAATTTTGTTTAGGTTATTTTAGCCAATTTTCCGAAAAAAAAAAACACCGCGTTCCAAAAAAGCGGTTCGTTTTCCGTCAAATGGAAAACTCGAATGCTGTCAAGTGAAGATGACTCTCCTCTGGTTTTACTTTACCGGTGACAAAGACCAAACTGATCGCCGGGATTTCTCCTCTTCTTCTGCTCAGATCCGGTGACTGCCATGGCCAAATCTCGGGCGGTTTTGGAGCTCACTGCCCGTTTCGATCTCGGCGGCGATGATAAGATCCGAGCCGTATCTCTCTCCCCGGACTCCGCTTTCCAAACCCTAGTATACGTCGGAACCTCCTCCGGATCCCTTATTCTCCTCTCTATCGACATTTCGACTAATATAGTCTCGCGTCTCGGAAGTGTATCGCTGAGCGCTTCTCCCGTTGAGTCCGTCTTTGTGCTTGGCCACGAAAGAGGGAAAGTTCTAGCTCTCTGCAATGGCTACTTGTTCTTGGTGGATTCGCTTCTTTCTCTACCCGCCAAGAGATTGGGTGGTTTATTGAAAGGGATCAATGTGGTTGCTAGGAGAGTGAGAGGACGCGGCTCCTCGAGTACTGATTTGTTCCCATCAGAGGTTTCTGCTGATTCTAGCTCCAGCAACAAGTTCCTTCAGATGCTTGGTGCTGGAAATCGGGCCAGTGACATCAAAGGTGAGGATTCTCGAGTCCTCCAAGGTCGTTTTGTTTTTGCTGTTGCCATTAGTGAGAGAATGTTGCTGATCCAACTTCACTGTGACGGCACCTTTCTTGTCTTGAAAGAGATTCTGGGAATTGGTGGGATCAAAACATTGGTTTGGCTTGATGATTATGTTTTTGCCGGAACTCTTCAAGGGTATAGCTTGATCTCGTGCGTCACTGGTCAAACTGGGGTCATATTCACATTGCCTGCTGTGTCCGGTCCGCCGCTGCTCAAATTGCTCTGCAAAGAGTGGAAGGTGCTGTTGTTGGTGGACAATGTTGGAGTTGTTGTGGACACAAATGGCCAGCCTATTGGAGGGAGCCTTGTGTTTCCGAGGAGGCCTGATTCTGTTGGAGAATTGTCTTTCTATCTGGTGACCGTTGGAGATGGAAAATTGGAAATACATCAGAAGAAGTCGGGTGCTTGTGTTCAGTCCGTAACTTTCGGTCCCGAAGGATATGGGCCGTCCCTTTTGGCCGCAGATGAGGCAGGAGACGGAAACCTTTTGGCTGTTACTACCTTGTCAAAGGTATTTTTTAATCCCGATAATGGCTTTCAAGTATATCTTGTTGATGAAGCTGTCACGAATATTCTGTGCACTCTTTCATTGTGATGTTTCAGCTTATTTTTTATCGGAGAGTGCCTTATGAAGAACAGATTAAAGACCTCTTGAGGAAAAAGAGATACAGAGAAGCCATATCCCTTGTGGAGGAGCTTGACTCACAGGGGGAAATTTCAAAAGAAATGCTTTCCTTTCTTCATGCTCAAATAGGGTATCTACTGCTTTTTGATCTGCGCTTTGAGGAAGCAGTGAATCAATTTTTAAAGTCAGAAAAAATGGAACCTTCCGAAGTTTTTCCATTTATCATGCGGGATCCTAATCGCTGGTCTTTGCTGGTACATGTTTCTTTCCTCGCGGCTGGTATTCTATGATTTACTCCAAGTTGTTTCTGCAGTTGGCTGCTTAATCAATCACTGTTCATTATCTTCCTCACTAAAGGCATTGTCTAACTTGCGGGGAACCTGAAATATGATGTTTCAAGCTTTGTCCAATAACTGTCTGCTTCACTAAGAGTCTTACCGGCTTTCAGGTTCCAAGAAACAGATACTGGGGACTGCATCCTCCCCCTGCTCCTTTCGAAGATGTTGTAGATAATGGGTTGATGGCGATCCAGAGAGCCATTTTTCTTAGAAAGGCGGGAATGGACACTCCGGTTGATGAAGAGTTTTTAGAAAATGCCCCCCCTAGTAGAGCTGATTTATTGGAGTCGGCAATTAAAAACATTACCAGGTGATACAACTGCTTTTTTTATGTATTGTGTTTCCTTATACAGCTTTTTAGTATATCCCTGTTCACTGAGGTGTAAATTGGCAAATAACAAGGTAATGTTACCGTTGTGAAAGGTACCTTGAGGCATCACGTGAGAAGGACTTGAGTCATTCAGTCAGGGAGGGAATAGACACGCTTCTAATGCTTCTGTACAGAGCATTAAACCGTGTTGAAGATATGGAGAATCTTGCATCTTCTGATAACAACTGTGTCGTGGTATGTGCTTTTAGTGAATTATACACATGTACATATTTACATAGCATCAACTCGATAGGTGGCACCACAGACTAACAACTGAATGATGTAAGAAACCTGGAATATGAATCTAGTAAATCTAGTTTGTTTTTACAGAACTATACGAGTAAGACAGCTATTGGTTGGTTAAAAAGATGAAGAAATCAAGTTTTCAGTGTCTAGAAGATTAGTTACTTTTTTCTATGCATTGTACTTGTACCAGTTTTGTAGCTGTTTAGCTGTGGGCCAGTTTAGTAAACTAGTGTGGTTAAAAGCAATGGATCAATGTTAACCATCTTAGGATGCTATAGTTTTGACTTCCTTAAGCAAAGTCTCCAAAGTTACTCTGAAACGCTGTTAACTGGAAAATATTAACTGTAGTACTCTAGGATTCCTGTAAATGTACCTTGAGGAAATTATAGTTTTTGGATGCTTAGAGTTACAATGCATTAAAAAACAGAGAACTTGTTGTCAGAAGGTTGCTTAAGGGATGACTTTACAACTTGCGTGGGCGGTGCAGGAGGAGTTGGAGACTCTTCTAAATGAATCTGGACACTTACGGACACTTGCATTCCTCTATGCGAGTAAGGGGATGAGTGCAAAGGCTCTTGCGATTTGGTGTCTCTTTACGAAGAATTATTCATCTGGTCTATGGCAAGACTCAGATGACTTGGTGCCCTATTTACACGACAACGAGCTCATTAGGTTATCTGGTAAAGAGGCCGCTGCCGCAGAAGCAGCCAGAATTCTTGAGGAACCCTGTGATCCAGAACTGGCACTGCAACATCTTAGTTGGGTATGACAGATTATATAATTCCATGTTGTCGTGACTTTCTTCATTTAATATTTGCATCTTGTGAATATAATTGGTGATTGTGGTTATATCATCCTTTAGATTTCAGACGTAAACCCATTGTTTGCTA